CTAATTTTTGAACAAATCTACCCTTTAGCTTTAAATTTAAATCCATAGAAATAAACTAAACATAAGAATAATTCAGTGGTGGGTTAATAGTTTTGCTCAAAACTGAATAGTGATGACATGTAAATAACAATAACAACAAAAACTACCAAATAACAATTAAAATACTTCACTTTGCTTTTTCTGGTTTTATGCAATTTTTCCTTTTCTGATGTTCCCGCATATTTGATGGAGACTGGACGATCAGTTTCCCACATACAGAGCATGGCTTTCTTTTACTTTTAATAGGTCGTCTATATTTTTTGTTGTAAGCTGCAACGTATTCCTGATACTTGGGCTCCCCTTTATGTGTTTGTAGGTGATTCCATACACTAGCCTTTTTTCGCCCTTTGAAGGCCTGGGAGCAGGACGGCTTTGTGCATTTGTAGTCCATTTTAAAACGCTTCCTGGGCAGGTCTGGCAGTTCCTCTACTACTCGTCGTTGTCCTCCTCCTCCTTCTTCTTCTTCTTCTTCATCTTCGTCTTCTTCTTCTTGTACTTCATCCTTTACTTGTGCATTCTGTGACATACAGACAAATAAAACTGTCAATACATCACTAGTACATTTTAAGTTTCAACCGATTGTCAAACCTACCACCGAGCATCTGCATGGCAAGACTATCCTCTCATAGAATTGAGGGTTGTCCTCTGCTGATATGTCCTTCGGGATGAGTCCACTTTTCATCCAGCCCATCCAGCCAGGCTGCAGTACAGCAACCATCGCACTCAAGTCCATGTGGAAGTCTTGGTCCCTGCAATGATACAAGTTTATGAAGGAGACTGTTTTGGTTCCTTACATACACCTGTAGGTGCGCTCAGAGATGTATTACTTACATTATGCAGTGGCACTTGACGCTGGCCAAGCCATATGGCAGCCACATCTTTGAGGGGAAGTTGGAAGCTTCCGCACAGTTCATGCCCAAGTTCACTACCCAATGGGCCGCGTTGGGATAGAGTACTACTGCTTGTTTAGGTTTCTGTATGATCTGTATAAAAGAAGCATTGTGTTAACTAGCTGGTATACAAGTGTATCATTAGATGAATGCTCTGCTGAAAAACGCTAGTTCCCTTACCACTTTGTATGGAATCTTTTTCTCTTCCATCCATGCAGCAGTAGGAACATAATACTTGTGCCCGAGTGGCCCGTTCGGGCAATCGCTGTGGAGAGAGTTGGTTTTCAGATCCGCAAGGCAGTTTCTCAGCTGGTTTACAGCACGTGGTGGCACGACAAACCTGAAATGAAAATGAAAAGTTAACTGTGACTGCATTCGTTGACTGAGCATATAGGTACCTTTTTCATATTTCAAACAGTGGTACATACCACAACTTTGGCTGCCCATAATGAAGAAAATTAATGCTGAAGAGACTCCCATCTTCTACATGTACAGGTGCGAAGGTGTGTGTGGTGCCAAAATATAACATGGGACGGGTCACACCACTGTAATGCTCCTTGAGCAATCGGTTCATAGTTGTGGCCCCCATAAAGAGCATCATGTATTGAGGGGACATTCTCAACTCATCCGAAGGTTCAACGGGTATGCCACTGGCATACATGACACCACCCGCTGGAGATTCGGGCAAGTCATTTTCCGCATCAATACATGCACAACCTATATTTTCTACCCTCTTGTCATCTTTTACCATTTTCATGGCAGCCTTACTTTTCTCCTCGCTGCTCATCCGCTCAAATTTTGCCATAAAAGAGTCATAACTTTCCTTCATTGCAGTCACCTGCGCAGAGCTCAAATATTTCCGGCTCCCGTTTCGGTTTAGCACCTTTCCCGCTCGTGACTTCATATCAGAGAAGATGTGTTGGATGAGAGCTGCCTGCCCCTTCGAGTCGAGTATAGTTGTGCTAAATGGAGACGTACTGGATATTAAAATTTGTATAAAAACATATAAAGGACATATTTCCACAGCACGGTATACTCACCAGCATGTAGGCGTACTATACGAGGGCTCACTGGTTGCAGTGAGTGAGAATGCTTCGACATCTTCCAGAGTGCACAGGTTTACGCCACCAAATTCCTCATAACGTTTGCAGGTGAACGCTCGGTGACCAAACACACCAGGGGCCGCAGCGAAAGCAGCTAGGAACTGGCGTTTTGGTCCCTCTGCTTCTCCTTCCTTGGCAGATTCGAGGTGGCTCTTCAGTTTCTCCACAAACTGACTTAACGGAGATCCTCCATCTCGGTCTGCTTTCGAGAACTCGCCCTAGATACATAGACATTCAGTCCGGTTAGTTTTGTTGTAATCAGAGGTACTGGTCCACCTTCCCCAGCTGAACGTAAAACGATTAAACCTAACCTAACCTTTCTGCTTACCACAAATACACCGTCCATTTGGATCTGCTTGTCCGTCTGCCACAGATCATCAACAACCTCGCAGAGCTTGAACATCTTCTCGTCAGTTAGAACAATTTTCCGAACTTGTTGTGCTTCCATTTCACTAGTTGTTAGAATAGTCAGTACAAGAGGATCAATAAACGTTGTCAACGGTAGTAGCAACAGAGCACTAGTGAGGAGTGAGCGTGGAGGAGCGTGAGCACGAGTGAGCACGAGGCAGCCGGGCGCTTTTCGACCTCTCGAAGAACAAAAATACCGGAAGTCAGGGTAAAGTGTCTCACGATATAGAGGTTTGTCGTCAATGCAACCGACTCTCTGACCTAAATTTAGTCAAAACTATATTCTTACGGCACACACTGCTTCAATCTGACGTGTTTAACGGCTTGGAACGTTCCATATACTGTCCGACTTCCGGCATTTTCGTTCTTCGAGAGGTCGAAAAGCTGTGGCCGGCGAAGAAGAAGAAGAAGAGAAGAAGAATTTGTTACAAGCAAGATGGCCGCCGTGCTCCCGCTCCTCCCCGCACCCCGCAACACCCCCCTGGTGTTTTCCCAGCCAGAAATGGCATGTCGTAACGCCGTCATTTCGACGTCGTTGGTCGTACCAGAGGTCCAAAAATACGTCGAAACGATGAATTTTTCGACAAGTCGATGTCGCACGCTCGTTAAAGAATATCCTAATAGACGATTTGGGCTACCTCTGGATAAGAAGAAATCAAGCAAAAATGCCGACAAGCATCATGGCCGTCCAATATGGCCGCCCATGGGAGAGATAGGGCTAGCAGACACGATGCTTGTAGATTTCTTCCTGACTTCTTCTTATCCAGAGGTAGCCCAAATCGTCTATATCCTATAGGACTCAACGATTTGCGGGTTCCTTTTCATCCGACAGTGTGCTTTTTGAGAAGAAATGAAGAAGTCAGGACCGGAACCAGTAGCTAAAGTTCGCTGATTTTTGTAGTTTTCAATGATTTTAGCCTGTATTTTAGAACTGTTTCCGGTGGTGATTTCATTAATTCTTCTTTAAACGGGCACTGCCAGAACCCTCTATTTTGTTGCATTGCATACATAACTTCGGAGTCGCGCGGGCACTTACTCGGCAGACACATCTCACTGTGATGTCCAAACGGGCCTCTCCGCTGCCCCTTGGAGTGTCTACCCCCTGCCTGCGGTCAGGAGGAACGCGGTGTAGTGACGCCACGCGGGTCGCGCAGAGTAGTGACATAATGTGTCGGAGCAAGAGAGTCGGAGCATGGCATGTCTGGAGGCTGGAGAGTGTGACTTGTTTTCTAGTGAAATTTTAAGAGTAAACCGCCCTTGTACACGACGAACTGGATGGAGACACACTTTTTAAGGGGGGACCTTTCGTCCCGGACTCTGAGAATGGCATAAAGGTAACTTAGGATGAGTATCCGCGCTCCGGTTATCGTCAAGGTGTATTGCTGTTTCTCCGCAAAAAGTTCACGCATCCCCCGAGAGATAGTGCTAGTTTCGGTACACTTCCAAAAACACAACCCAGGCTTGTGGTAATTTCCGAATTCATTGCAGAGATAGGCTTTGGGTGCATTTCCTCGACTTTTGTGGTGCCGAATTGTTTCGCGCAGGGTATACCTGCTGAGGACCGCTGGGCAGGGGCAGCAGGGGATTACCGGCGGCGAGGCGGGGGAGGGGCGGGCGGCGCGCGACGACCTGTCAGTCATACAATAGGACGAGCTCCGGGACCCCAATAGAGTTCAATTGTCTGCAGTAGGAACCTTTGCACGGGCGTAACAGCTACTAGAAATATTGGAGTTTGAATAAAATTAGGTCCAGGATCATATTACTGAGGTTGCGCCGCTTCCAATGATATAAGGGTTCACAGCAGTATCACTAAAAGTAGAATTGAACTTTGTCCTCTGACCCACTAATCGGTATCCCACAGGAAGCGTCGTTGCAGTGCCAGCGATTTAAGCATGGAATGTTAAAGTATAAAGATTCCCGGTGGGAATGAGACCAATATGTGAAATGCTATGCTAAAAGGAAGGGTCCAAACGGTGTTTAAAAAATGTCAAATTTTTACTTGCGGAAAACGGGCAGGGGGTGATATCCTTCCGTCTTCTAACCTACCCTACGCCCTGGGCGCATGCCTGCTCTGTTCAGAACTGTTTTTATTTTGTCTCTGCGATAAAAATTGTAGAAATGGGAGTAACTACTAATTGCGGAGGCAGTTTGAATCATTTGCTTTTCTTGCTGGGAGCCCGTACCGAGGCAGGCTGCGAGGTCCTTTCTGCCACCTCGGTTTGAGCTGAGAGCCACAGCGAGCACGTCGCCGCACTGCATGGGCCGGGCGCAGCGGCTGCGCTATTGTTTGTCCTCAGCCGTCATATACCTGTCACAGTGACCAGTGTCCGCAGCCCCTCCCGACGTAGTACGGCTGGCAAGCACTGCGCCACCAGTCGGCCGCCCCGGGACGTGGCGCGACGTTTAAATCCAACCAAATTCCCCTAAAAACGGACTTTTTTTCAGAGGGAAAATCTCCGAAAGTTTTTATCGCACAGAGAAAATAAAAACGGTTCCGAGCAGAGGAAGGCTGTGCGGATGTCGTCTGCTTAGCCCGAAAGTGGTGCGGCCTAATGCCTGATGTGATCCTAATTTCTCTCAAGAGAAAATTGGTCTTACTTTGAACACCCATTTGACCACTTTCTTCGAACATGATATTAAATCCATTAAGCAGACGACATCCGCGCATCTTTCCCCTGTAGGATTCTATGCTTGAATTTCTGATCTGACGGATGTGCTTCCTAATCTTCTGCTTATAAAATACGGTGTTTTGCTATTTTTAACGTTCAATATCTCAACTCCTATTTGAGCCAGGAAGCTGAAAATTTGCGGAGAGTGTCTCTAGCTAGCAATGAACGCGTACACAAAATTTCATCCAATTCGGATAACTCATTTTTTGGAAAGGTCCCCCCTTAATTATCTAGTGTAATACGGGGGTGTCTACTGCGCTGCCGCCCTCATGGACCTCTGACCCCATTCAGCACGCATAGGGCGTTGTGCATCAAAGATAGCCGCAAGACTTGGCTAAGCACGTGTTCTGTGATATCTGAAAGGGTTTGGCCTAGGCGCCGCGGAATAGACCAAGGTTGAACATCTACTTACCCCCTCTCTCAGCACCCGCACTCTAAACACAACCTTCCGCGCCGCGGCCGTTTGCGCCGAGCTAGGGCATTTGCGCCCTCCGGAAGAAGACGGCGAACAGCAAGGCATGATCACTTTAGAAAATATTTCTTTTTCCGCCTAGAAAAGTGACACAAAATCAATTTGCTAGGCAGATAATAACAACAAAAATAGAGGGAACGACGTAGTAAGTAAACCAACCAAAAGAGGACTCTGCAGTCGGGCACATGTAGCGGTAAAATACGGTAAAATAAGGCAACAGCACTTGAAAATGTCGGCAGTTAAATGTTCATTCAATATCTCACAGCATAAGCCGCTAAAATCGTTTTAAAATGACAGAAATCCTTCTAGAAAATGCATTGATTTGTGATTGTGAAAAAGTGTTATGACTTTAGAGATCACGGAACTTCACCCTCTAGGTTTTAATACTATGAAACATCGCTATTGATATGGCAAATCAAATCAGATATTACCTGCATCATGATGAAATCCGTATAGAACTTATAAACGTTCAGCTTCTTTTCAAAAATCTGCTGAGATACCGGCGTGCGGCGGCCACGCCACATGTGTCCACTCGCGCGTAGGTTAACCCAAAGTTGTTGGGTTTTCCGAATTCACATACACAAACGATTGAACATGATAAAATTCCGCCAAATAATGCATGACATTCTTCCCAATTCACTGTTAATAATAAACCTTGGAAACACCCATTTCTTTCCAAGATTCAAAATGACCGCGCTTCTCTTCTCATCTGCTGTGGTACAGTCGTCGCAGCTTTACTTCTGCCTTCGGGTTTTGGTCACGTGATACCCGAACACGTTCCGATTGGCTCACGAAGCTATTCGGCTGTCACGTGACCTAAAACCCGAAGACAGAAGTAAAGCTGCGCCGACTGTATCAACAACAAAACAAAACAACAGTCTGTTCAAACATGGCGGCCATGCCGTACTTAGTACTTTTAGTCTAGTTAAAACTTTTGTAAATTTAGATTTTGTACTTATGGAATTTAAGTAAATAAGCTACCATTTTCTCAAGGTATGATTGTTAATTTTCCCCCCTTATCTGTCGTTTGGTTCTTATCGTTTTATTTACCATAAAATGAAAAATTAATGACAGGTAGTAGGTTAAAGGATCTGTTCTATTTTTTTTTATTTTCGCAACAATTATCGGGTGAAAATTATTGTGGCTCTTCTACAGTTCATAGAACCGTAATGTCATTCCCATTTGATTTTCGTGTTGCGTGAATTCTGTTCTGCTCATAGTAAAGAACTCATTGAGGTCAATGCACTGAGCAACTTGTTGAATTGTAGTGAAACAGTGTTCTGTATATTTGAACAGTCAAATGTGTATTTTCTAATAACTTTAATCCGCTGTATTCCTTAGAATACCACTATTATCTCATCCCCAAATTTACTCATTTGCAATTCGATCAAGCAGAAAGTAGTTTGCAGGCCCTTCTCCGAGTAACTATAAATCTTCCATGGCAATTTTGCAATATTTTGTGGACAGGTTGAGGCTGCTGGCAACAGCAGCATGGCTGAAACAGGAGCAGAGCACCACAAGTGGCTCTCAACTGGCTCTCTGTGTTTAAGTATCGACGGTGAGGACAAAAAAACTGACCCCTACGAAGAAGATATGGGGACCACAATAAGGTACATTTTTTTCTATGTGGATAGTATTTACTATTTTTTACTGATGTTATGGAATAAATTCTAATACCTTTACCTGAATTAAATCATTATTTTACTTCAAATGTAGAAACCAACCACCTGGTGTAAAGAAATCCAACAAGTATGGTCCAGCTATGAAGCATCTTCTTCCCTATCGTAAAGCTCCCCCGTAAGTGCAAATGAATGTGAGAGTTTGATTTAAAGAGTTCTAAGTGTCCTGTTTACCTATTTAACTTGTGTTATTGCATTTATTAAGTGATAGTCAAGTAATGCCTGGAAACTCCTCTGGCCTGTTCTCATTTATTGCTGTGGCATGGATGACAAAACTGATGTGGAAAGCATATCGTCATGGGTTGTCTGAAGAAGACTTGTACGAGCTTCATGTAAGGGAGAGTCTAACTAGAGCTACCAGTAACTGTTATTCTGTTCTTCCAGCAAATATATACTTATGCTTAAAAAATTTCAGACTGCTGACCGTGCTGAATCCAATGCTTGCCGACTTGAGAGTGCTTGGCATGATCGTGTAAGACAGCAGGGATTTGAGGCATCTCTTTTCTCTGTCGTGTGGCGTTTTTGTCGAACAAGGGCTATTGTTGCTACTTTATTGATGGTCTTAGCTGTCATATTTCAGTTCCTGGGTCCTGTAAGTAAACTCCTGTTATGTTTATCATCGAACTATACCAAATCATAACTAATCTTAATTATTTTTAGGCTATTTTACAACGGCTTATACTTCAATATGTTGATGACAAGACACTACCCCTATCTTGGGGTTTGACGCTAGTTGTTATGCTATTTGCTACCCAATTGTTGAGAAATTACTGTTTTGGTGCTGCTTATGTGATGGGCTTACATACTGGTATGTGTGTCTGGAGCCAGATAAATAATTCTATTACCAGTCTGTTGACAAATAACATTGAATGGAAGATAACTCAATTTATTACTCCTTTTACAGCAATACGTATTCAAGGTTCAATTCAACATCTTGTATACAAGAAGATGCTGCTACTTCGTTCTGGAGGAGAACGAGCGCTGGGTCAAGTCATCACATTTTGTACTAATGAGCAGGAAAGAGTTTTTGAGGCTGCACATATGGGAGTTCTTATCTTAGGTAATTTCAATTGTGTTTTTAAACTTAAATGTTGGGTTTTCCTTTTTATATCTTCAATCATATTTTTCTAATGAAAATATATTTGCAGGAACCCCAGTTATGTTCACAATGTGTGTCATATATTCTGTTTGGGTCCTGGGCCCATGGGCTCTTGCTGGGAATTTCGTTATACTTCTCTTCTACCCAGTGATGGTAAATATCAAGTTTGATACTTTTTCACAGGTCTGTTAAATTTGTTTTCTGAACTGAGATTTTCTCGTTGATAGGCAGGGGTAGCCAGCCTTACAAGTATGGTTCGTATTAAAACTGTTCAAGTAACAGACAAACGGATAGGGTTAATGCACGAAATTCTGAGCAGCATTAGACTCATCAAAATGTATGCATGGGAAGATAGCTTTGCCAAGAACATTTGCCGTAAGTACTACACATATCTTGGAAATTCGAACACATTATACTTTATCTTCCAACCTTTGCATGTTTTTATAAAAATGAAGTTTACCATTACTCTAGGGTTGTAGTAAAATTTAACTTTTTATAGGAAGCTGAATAATATATTAACTTTTTTATTTTCCTTATTTAGATGTCCGTGATTTAGAGCGTCAGCAACTCCAGAAAGCAGCTTTTCTACAATCTTTTAGTAATACAATAACACCTTCCATAACAATACTAGCATCAATTGCTACTTTTCTTGGATACAGGTTTGTTTCCCTTTAGTGCTCTCCATTATAAACTGTGTAATGTTTGTTATCCAAACGACCAGGTATGAAACTAACAGGCTCAACAGTGTCCTTAAACATTGGAAACCCCGTTTCCTTACTTTAGCTTACATTTTTCAAATTTAGTGTTCTTTTGCCTCAGTTTAACAGGTAATAATCTCTACACGGCAGAAGCATTTACAGTGTATGCTGTGTTTACTGCCATGCAGTTTACTGTGGGAACACTACCCTATGGTATCAAGTGTCTTGCAGAAGCGAAAGTATCATGCAACAAAATTCAGGTAAGCTTATTTGACGAGTAAGCTTTATGTGTTTTGGTATCTAGTGAGTATTGGTGAAAAAAATGTCATATGTTTTCTGTTTTCATCAGAAATTTCTCCAGAGACCAAACTTTGAATCAACTGTCACTAGAAACCCTGGGGGTGTTCCAAGTACTGGCCCTGTAATTGATTTCAAGAATGCAACGTTCATTTGGGATGACGATGAACCAGAAATGCTAATGAAAGGTATGATTTTTAAGTTAAATATTATTAATTTGTAGTGAGAAATTGATCTTACTTCATGAATTATGCAGGTATGTATGCTCTCATGTCATTAACACATCCCTATTTTCTAGCTAATACAAAAATAAGAGGAAATCTTCCAAAACTAACTGAAATTGATGCTGCTAATGGAGTTAAAAATGGAAAGAACTTGGAGGAAGCCAACAAGCTTTTCTCTGATGTTGACAAACCAGAAGAGCCTTTGAGGGAGATTAGCCTTACTGTACAGCGGGGAACTCTTCTTGGTATATGTGGTTCAGTTGGTGCTGGAAAGAGTTCTTTGTTGTCAGCAATCACAGGGGATGTGAGTAGTTTTGCCCACTTCTTCTGTTTATATCCATAAGTATTTTAACTATTGAATACATTTCATCTTGTAATTTATTTTCATTTTCATTAGATGATTCGTGTGCAAGGAGAAATGTTTGTTCAAGGAGGTTTAGCTTTAGTTTCTCAACAAGCTTGGATTTTTAATGAAACACTTCGTGAAAATATACTATTTGGTTTGCCCTATGATGAAGAGCGGTACAATGAAGTTATTAATGTCTGCTCACTTCAAAGGGATTTGGAAATGTTATCAAATGGAGATCAAACTGAAATTGGAGAAAGAGGATCAAATCTAAGGTGGTAACCCTAAGTTGTCTCTCATTTGCTTTTTCTTTTGTCCATCTACAACTTAAGTACAGTAATAAAATAATCTAATTTTTAGTGGTGGCCAGAAACAAAGAGTCAATTTGGCCCGTGCTGTGTATGCAAACAAGGATGTATACTTACTAGATGATCCTCTGAGTGCAGTTGATGCACGGGTTGCAAGACATATCTTCTCTAAATGTATTAAAGGAACCCTGAAAGGAAAAACAATCCTACTTGTTACCCATGGACTACAGGTAAAGTTAAACAATACATAAAAAACATCTACATTTAGAATTTTTCCTTTTTAGAAAAGAAAATGATAGTAATACTTGTGAATTGTTGTTATCTTGCTATCAGTTTTTGGCTGATTGTGACGAGGTAGTTTTCATGAAAGATGGGACTATATCAGAACGAGGTAGTCACTCTGCACTTTCTGAAGCTGCTGGAGACTATTGCCAAATGCTTACATTTGACCATTCACGATCTGTGAAGAAACAAAATAGCTCTGATGATACTGAGGTGAAAACAATTGATGTTGATGAAGAAACTCCTCTAGGTAAGTATATTCTATTTACATATGGTGATCAATAAATTTTCCTTTTTGTGATCTGTATCTTCCTCAAATTTTATTCAGTGTTTCTTATACTGTCTTAACTCTTTCAACTTACAGAAGAGAATGTTGGCAAATTAACATCTGCAGAGGAACACAAGTCTCTGGGTTTTTCAGGGTACCTTCGTTATTTTGTTTTCTGTGGAGGCTACTTCATCATGCTCCTCCTGCTCCTGCTTATTGTTTTGTTCACATTGGCAAGATTATTCTCTGGTGTCTGGCTACAAATATGGCTTGATGAAGGTGATGGATTGGAGGTAATTTTTGTTAAAAAGCTTATTTACTAGTAAATTTTGGTTCGGTTTGTCTATTGCTAAATTTTATCAATTCTTTTTGTAGGCTGAAAGAAAATTCAATATCTCACAGTATAATCTAACATACACAGATAATGAGCTGAAAGGACTTGTAAATGAGAATCCGGATAGAGCTTACTACCAACTTGTTTATGGTCTCACTTTTGGGTTGACTATAGTAATTGGCGTTTGCAAAGGGTGGGGAATAGCCCGCCAGCTCTTGCTGGGTTCATCTCGTTTGCATGATACCATGTTCCGGAAAATTATGCGCTGTCCAATTTCATTTTATGATGTGACACCTACTGGAAGGATTTTACAAAGATTTTCAAAAGATATGGATGAGCTTGATGTTCGAATCCCATTCTTTATTGAATTTGTTTGGCAAGGATTATTGTTCTGTATAACACAAATGCTTTTGATTTGCTTTGTGTTTCCCATATTCAGCTTTGCTCTTGCTGTTGCTGCAGTCCTCTTTGCTTTCCTTGATGTATGGTTGAACAAGGGTCTAAAGGAAACAAAACGACTAGATAACCTACGCAAGTCACCTGTCTTGAATCATATTACATCAACAATGTCCGGTCTCTCTGTCATTCGTTCATTTGGACGGCAAAGAGTTTTCCTTGAGAGGTTTTGTGCTCGGTTGAATCAGTCCCTAGCATCAGATCTAATTTATAGATCATCTGTCCGCTGGTTTACGTTTCGGATGGATATGATTGCAGTAGTTATGGTAACTCTTACTGGATTTGTCGTTGTGTATTTTCGAGGTACTGTTACTACAGCTGAAAGTGGGCTGGCATTATCCTGTGTTTTTGCTGTGTGTACTTTTATACCATATGTGATGCAACTGAAATCAGAGTTTCAATCAAGATTTACATCCGCTGAAAGAGTTCTGGAGTACTCTTCAGATCTTCCAGAGGAGGCTCCAAAGCAAATTGATCAATCACCCAAGCCGAAAAATTGGCCAGAAAAAGGTGATGTGAAGATGGAAAATGTTGAATTACGCTACCGACCAGGATTACCCCTGGTTTTGCAGAGCGTATCTGCTCACATAAAGGGTGGCGAGAAAATAGGTGTTGTTGGTAGAACTGGAGCTGGGAAATCGTCATTGATTTCAACATTCCTAAGACTCACAGAGTTGGCTGGAGGACGTATACTTATTGACAACATTGACATATCCTTGCTAGGATTACAAGAACTTCGTTCAGCCATTGCAATTATACCACAAGATCCAGTTCTTTTTGAGGGCACATTAAGGTATGTATGTGCTTACTCCTATTCTTGTCATGTCAAACTATTAATTGATTTGAACTTACTCAATTATTGCTTTTGAAACAGGTTTAACCTTGATCCCTTTGGAGAACATAAAGATGGAAAAATTTGGGAAGCATTGGAAAAGTCTCATCTGAAAGACAAGCTTAGTCGAGAGGAAAAGCAACTACAAACTCCTGTCAGTGCTGCAGGTCAAAATTTGTCTGTCGGAGAAAAGCAACTAATTTGCCTTGCTAGGGCTGTACTGAGGCAAAATAAGGTTCAGTACAATCTTGCATCTCTTGTATAACATAATAAAGTCCGATTTTTTTATTCTAATTTTATGGATTAAAAATAATTTTGTTTTGATTTGTTGCATTCATTTAGATTTTGCTTCTCGATGAGGCTACTGCATCAGTGGATGTGGAGACAGACTTTCTGATTCAGAGGACAATCAGGGAGACTTTCAAGGACTGTACTGTAGTGACCATTGCTCATCGTCTTCACACTGTTTCATCTTATGATCGTGTTATGGTCATGGATGCTGGAAAGGTATGGCTGAATAAATTTTGTGTCAATCACCCTTCTTTAATAAACTTCTTGATTCATTCTTACTGTTTGTATCCTTGGTCTAGGTTGTTGAATTTGATACACCATTTGCTCTTACTGCAAACAAGGACTCTGTGTTCCATGGTATGCTTGAAGCTGCTGGTGTTGCTTACCCTGCTGCCTCACCTGATAGCCCATCTCGTTAAGTTATTCTGTGTTTTGTTCTGTGCTTCTCCATCTTCATGTTGTCATGTTCTAACTACTGTTGTTCCAAGAAATCTTCTTGAAATCTTAATCTCAATTCTCATTGTGCAGCTGAAGGTATCTGATCTGACTAGAGTTATTTTAACTCATTTAAATTTGTACTTACTGAACATTTTTCATGTTAACATTTTAATCAAATGTTTGTTTTTAGGAGATGTTTGAAGTGATAGGGCTGTGATGAAACAAATTTTCTCTTTTGAAGTAAAATACTGTATTTTTACTATTTTAGAATTTCCTGAACTGTTCTGGTGCATCCAAAATTTATAAAACTATTGTATCCCATGACATTTCTATGTGATCTGATTAATTTCTATCGGCTTGTGTTCTTAATAACAGTGAGTATTTCGTAATTTTTTTGCTTGTTCTGGACTCATGGATTCAGTTTAGGTACACTTGTGACAGTGCTCTTGTTACACACTTTCACGAAGTAGTAGCCACAAATGCATAATGTTTCTGAATCTTTAAACCAGTGTTCCTTCTGATTAGTAATCTATTACATGTGTTGTTTAAGATTAAGACAATGTTTTCCTTGTTTATATCTTGTGTTTTTTTCACAAAGAATAGTTATGTTTTTGTTCTATTCTGTAGTGTAGGAATATTCTTTTACAGATCACAAAGCTTACATGTTACTTAATTTTGTTTAACCCTGCCTGTGTTGTTATTCTTTTTACCTAATTCTTCTCACTATTTCAACTATGCTATTGTCAAGACAATTACTACGTAGATAATTACTGGGACTTAAGCTAAAGTGCATTATGTATCACAGCATTGTTATAGCTGGTGACTTGTCATAAGGACCAAAGATGTATATTGTATGACTGTTATTACCTAAGGATGAACCTATTGAGGCTTTCTTAGGAGCACATTCTACTATTGTTAATGGCATATTAGTGAATTGGGTAATTTAAGGAAATGACAATCTCCTTTCTTAAAGGTTGTCATCACCCCCAAGTACCAGTAATTATTTCTAATTATTTTAACTTTTGATTGGCTATATGCTAAAAACCAGTGAAAAATGACTATCAAAACAATGTTTATTGATATTGCTTTGATTCTTAAAAGACCGTGTCAGTCAACTGTTCACCACTGCCCTAGGTGATGACACGCTATTGTGTGTTATAGGTAGTTACTGTTAGTGTATCACCGTATTTACCTTGCCTGTGTTGTCAATTTATGACAGTTCTTCCAGTACAATTCCTTAATTTTTAATATCTTTAATATTGTTAATGTTGCTTTTGCTTCAGTATGGTGCTAAAGTTAAGTTAAATAAGGCTCTTGCTAGATACATAGCTCATTCTGGAGAGCCATTGCACCGTAATTTCAAGTTTTGTTTTCACATCATACTTGCACTTCTTTTAAAAAGGAATGAAAAGAATTCAAATTGGACTTTTTTAAAATACACGTACACCTAATTCACTTGTTTAATTTTTCCTATTATTTGACGCGACTGGACTGTTGCATTCCATCCTCCAAGCACTGTTAGACAGTTAATTTTATCACAGTGAACACTTAGAATTAATCATGAAAGTACACTTGCCGTTGCATTAGAGGACTGTACCATTGATCTGCTTCAATTGTGATACTTGAACAATAAAATGGCTCCTTAGGTATTGTTGTAGTTGTGCGCCCCACCTCCCATCCAATCATGTGACTTACTAGATTAAGGTGTCGGTTAAAAGGGAGCTTTAGTTGGATTAGTGTTAACCATGCTTTAAATGTACTGTCTTATTTTTCTGTTGTGTGCATTGCACTGAAATATATATTTGCAGTTCAAAACCTTGACATTCATTTACAAATGAGGCAAAAACAACAAGATGGATAGGGAAAACAGATTTAATAGCTACAGTAATGATCACAGTTAATCCAAAGCAGAATTCTTATACAACAAGCTTTTGTTCTTATGTTGTAAAATCTGTGTCAAAGTCATACTTGTCATCTGACCCAAGACTGAAGTTTTCCAGTACACCAGCTAATGAACTTGCATGACGTGCTGTAAACAATGCAACAAAAATATTAGATTTCTTTTCTTCAATACATAAAATAGACATGTGGAGTAATTGCATAACCAAAAAAGGCAAAAACCACAATACATAAACTTACAATTTCTTGCCTGCATTTTCTTCATTTTCTTAAAAGAAAGCTTTTTATGCAAGTTCAATTTCAGATTTCCCTCTAGTTCCATGAGTGTTTTTTCTTTCTTAGCTTCTTTGCCACTGGTTTTCTTACTTTCACCTCTATCAATTTTTTTTTTCTTTGCTGTGACAACTGTTACATTTTCATTGATCTGAAACAGAATTAAAACAAACATAGGTCTGAATCAACTGGCAATGTTAAACTGGAATATTATGGACTACTCTTACACCAAGAATAGAGAAAAACTTTGATGTAAATTTTTGAAATACAGCTCATGTATTCTACTGATTAAATATATATTATTATTTTTAAGTGATCAAGACTTAAAAGGTTGGTAACACATTTTTAACACATGCACATGATTAGTAGGGGCTTTGGTAAAACACTATTAGGAAGTCTAGAAAGCAACACAGTTTGTCTCTTCATTAGACGACTGTGGAGTACATAACAAGTACACTTCAGTGCATTTTATGAAGCAATTGATGTTTGAGACTGTAAGACCTAATACATTTTGTAACACATGATTAGGTACTTTAGTCTCACACTATGATGAAGCCTATGCAGCACAGTTTGTTTCTTCATTAGACGACTGCGGAGTACATAAACAAGTACACTTCAGTGCATTTTATGAAGCAATTGATTTTTGAGACTGTAAGACCTAATACATGAAGAGTACATGATTAGGGACTTTAGTCTCACACTATGAGGACTACAACAGCACGGTTTGTCTCTTCAATAGACGACTGCGGAGTACATAACAAGTACACTTCAGTGCATTATATGAAGCAATTGATATTTGAGACTGTAAGACCTAATACATTTTGTAACACATGATTAGGGACTTTAGTCTCTGAGTGGTAGACGAAATCGCGACACAGTTTGCCACTCTGTTAGGCGATGTGGAGTATATAAAAAGTAAAATTCAGTCTACTGTATAAAGGACTCGATATTTGAGACTTTAAGACCGTCATAGACAATAATGCATAGAAAGGGGCTTTGACCTTAAACCATCTAATTTGATCTGTGGCTTCACTCGACGATTCAGGGTAACATGTTACAACTACCCTAAATGCATATGTGGAGCAAATAATGTTCGAGACTCTAAGACCTGATGCAGCAGCAGCTGGTTATCAGGGACTTTAGTCTCGCATAAGATGAGGTAAAAGCTATGGAACTTACCAATTCACCACTTGCTTCAGCTGTATCATCCTCCATCTTTTCTTCTAAAGATGCAACAGCAACAACGGGCTCGGAAGACTCCAATATAACTGGTTCAACTTGACAGAAAAATGAATAGTAAGCGAGGAAGTCTCATGGTAGATCAATACCAAACTTGATAAAGTAGTATTTCATACCTTTCACATTTCCTGTAATACTGTCCATCTTCTCTAATGATTCAGCCTCTATGTCCTTAAATGAATCTAAGTCAAACTCAGCAGCATCTGTTGTTACAATGGCAGCACTCACATGAGACTCGTCTTTAACTTCTGGTGGTTGAGTGAAATATCTGATTTTGCCCCTGAGAAAAATGATGATTGGTTAGTTTGTGCAATTAAACTATAAATACATGAAACTAAAGTAACAAACTTAAATACCTGTTCCAGTCTTCTAAAAGTTGTCTGGCTGCTTTAGTTGTGTCTGGTATTCCTCCCTTTTTAAATTTCCCAGTTGTTTCAGCTAATGATATGAAGAACTCCTGAGGTGTATCATATTCAGATAGATTGTACAGGGTCATCATCTGGAACAAATTTTGATTAAGGATTAAAATATTAAGTGGTAAATTGGCAATAAACCTTCACTTGTCTTAAAATCAATGAAAGACTACACAACATGAATGCAACAAATATGTTTGACAGACAACATAGCATTTACTAAATCCATCAACATACGTATATTGGGGGGGGGGGGGAGATTTGAAGTACCATCAAATGGTCTAATATGGACCTTGCGAGGTAATTTGGACCACCTTCTTTTGGAGGCTCTTTGACACACAGAGCAAATACAAAGCAGTCTATTCCTTGGCCTCCATTGTCTTGATTAAGGAGGACACATTTAGATATCAAAATATGCCCCATGGCAGCCACAATGAGGAGGTGGTATATTGCCACACATGGTGCATAATAGACCATTTGATGGTAATGCAAATTATGGCACTTCAATAGTGCCTACCTTTATTTAGAATTTTTCATCAGAAATTAGACTTTTACAAGCTTAGGGATACCACGGGCTACTGTGTCACTACCAAGCCAGTCAATGGAAAGTTTAAAAAATAAATAGAACAGATTACTGTCACTGCCCTACTTGGAACACATTTATGGGAAAATGCAGCCAATGGGGGACAGGCATTAATCTTTGACAAGCTGAAGAGCAACACAGGGTAGAACAAACTGTGTCACTGATACTCAGCCCATCAATTTTCAAGTTTAAAATTATTACACTTTCCACATCACTTTTGTTGCTGCCCTACTTGGATTACATTCATAAACCAATGCAGCCAATGGGGGACAGGCTATTGTCTATGACAGGCTGGGGTGTAACACAGACTACTGTGTCACAGCTATACAGCCTGTCAGTTGGAAAGTTTAAAAATAGAAATACAAAAGAATCACAAATGTAATATTAAACTTATGTTGCTGCCCTACTTGGAACAAATCTAAAGTAGTAAATGGCCAATGGGGGACAGACATTTTTCTATGATAAACCATAATGTGCCAAAGAAGAGTATCTTCTGTCACCATGTAAATAGTCTATCAAATCAACATTTGAGGATTGACCGAAACATGTGGTGTTCATGTAGAATTGAAAATGCTTCATACCTGTGCCTTACTCGCTCTCTGGAGAATGGCAGTAGCAGGTGTAATTGGATCTGCTATAGTTTGCACATGAACTGCATTCTTTAGCACACTTGAGGCGTCAGTTTCATTAGTAGTTTTGGCAAAAACAATTCCTGGACTGTCCAGGAGTTTAATTTTTTTGTCAAGTTCAACAACTTGTGCAGATCTAAAATAAAAGAAAAACAGGACATGAATAACAATCTCCAATTGTAAATAGCATAAATGTTGACTGGTTACATACTTTGTTATACCAGGCATGGAGCCCACATTGCAGGCTCTAGTTCTTTTGAGACTGTTTATAATGCTGCTTTTCCCAACATTAGGGAGACCTGTAAAAGAAAAATTTACATTAAAATGAAAAATGAAAGGGCATACACCGATTAAATTTGAAATAATTAAAATATTATTCTCACCAACAATGCCAACATGGATAGAGGTCTTTATGTCCTTGTTTCTACAGTAATTATTGAGAAGAGACATAAGAACTTCGGCGCCAACACAAGGGGAAACGTTGGTTTCTTTCTCGCTCCAATTTTTCTTCACTTTGCGTCTGCTCAGATTCTGTTTTTGTTTCTGGGTAGAGGCTTTAAAGGCTATGGCTGGGATAGTTCGCCGCAGATATTGCAACCACTTGCTTAAAACTTCTTTAGGTACTAAATCTGAAGATAACAGACATTAGACAAATAAAATGTGACAAGTATCAAACTTCCAAATAGTCGATCATGAAAGTTACCAGCTTTATTCAGAACAAGAACAAGCTTCTTGTTTCCTTTTGCTTCCCTCACTGCTTCTTCAACTTGAAGACACCTTGTGCCCAATGGATCCCTGGCATCCACAACTTCAAGAACTACATCAGCAGCTTCCACAACTTTGCGGAATTCCTTGTAGTATGCCTTGAGGGAGTTTTCTGTCCTGTTAGTGAGTTCAGTATCAACATTTACTGATTTGTCTTCTGTCCATATTTCATGCTGCTTCTGCCTGGACTGAGCACTTCTAATAAGACTATCCAAACTTTCTGGCTCTTCTTCTTCCATTGGAACATCGCTCTTTTCTTCAAGTTCTTTCTTCTTTTGCAGTGAGCGTTCAAATGCTTTTTTGCGTTCCTCTTTCTCACGCTGCTTGAATGCTTCAGCTTCCTTTAATATTTCTTCTTTAAAGGGGCATACGCTGGGAACAACTATCATTTTGTTGGCTTTTTTAGCTGCAGATTTGAGAAGAAAAGGTAGTTCAGTCGAGTAACACCATTGTAATTCTAAAACACAAACAACACCACCCACAATCCAATATAAGGCTATAATGGTTCACAAACCTTTAGGATTTTTCTTCTCTTCGCGTCTCTTTTTCTTGTTAAACTGTCTCACGCGTTTCTCAACTTTGTAGCGGCGGGCTGCTGGGACCCGCTTGCTTTGTTTCTCTGCAAGAATTCAGCCAAATTAGAAGGGCAGGCATTGGACACAGGGTGTTGGAGGACAGATACATAAAAGTCTGAGGATTGCTTCTATATCAGTGAAAAGATTACAGGGACATTGAGGGTAAAAAGCTCGTAATAAAAACAATCATAGTAACGGGTAGAAGGTTAAGGTATCACCGATGTATGAGGTTGTACAAATAACACGTTCTAAATTCCAAGTACTAGTAAAACGGGATACTCACTTAAACACATTTTCGCCATTTTAAGTCGGTATGCACTTCAACAATGTGGGCAAATATCAATAAATAGAAGACAGGCAACGAACACGCACGCCACACGTGTTGTTAGTTCGTCGTGAAAGGTAAAAAGAGTACAGTCGGCGCAGCTTTACTTCTGTCTTCGGGTTTTAGGTCACGTGACAGCCGAATAGCTTCGTGAGCCAATCGGAACGTGTTCGGGTATCACGTGACCAAAACCCGAAGGCAGAAGTAAAGCTGCGACGACTGTAGAAGAAGAAAATGAATGTGTGTAGGTGGAAAGAAGAAGAAGCAAAGGAGAAAAGAAACGGTTCCGGAAAAACAGGGCAGCCATCGGCAGAAAGTTACAGTAAGTGAAAGGATCTTGCATTTCATCTAAAAGGTATTCTAAATATTTATTTATAAAATTTGGGAATTAAAACACAGTATTTTCTGTCCCCTCCCCTAGTAGGATTTTAGATCCTCTCAACAAATATAATGAAAGGCTCGTTATCTGTTTGCAAGGCCTGTATTCTGCCAATAAAATCAAAATGTCAAAATCCAGCAAAATAGAAGTGCAAATAACCAGGGGATAACCGAATAACCGAACCGCCCAGCCAGCCATAACCGCCACGGCTCAAAACAAGTTGAGTTTTCCCATGCATTCACACAGTTTTCCTGTTGTATTTTCGTTGCGCGATTGATTACGGAGCTCATGTGACTGCCACATCACAGTAAGTTTTTGGAAAAGAGGTTTCTGGAATATTTAAAGTTAAGTTAGTTGTGAAGAATGGGAAAACGTTTGCTGAGTGACAGTTTCGACCCGGTACTGGCAGTGTACTGACAGCAAGAGCAAGTCGAGGAATCAAAACAACGTTTACACTCCTCCAATTAAGACCGAATATCATTTTACTTCCACATGTTTTGCGGTAAATCATATTTTCTTTTCTCTATGCCTTGTCAACCAGTTTTTAATTTGTTTTCCTAGATTTCCTGGAGTCTTCATCAGTATATTTTCTATGCAACATTATTAGTCTAAAATGATGAGTATCTTAATTGCTATTGGGACGTGGGCCCTGTCAGTTGTTGTACTTCTTGTGGGTGGAGTCTTTGTATTTGAGTGGTTACAAAGAGCTAAATCAATCTCTGGAAAACATGTTGTGGTAAGTAAAATATCAGTTTTTCTGTAACATGACTGTTGGAATTCTGTTTCCCAAAGCTCTCCCCATTTTCAGGTCACGGGAGGCTCTAGTGGAATCGGGAAAAGTATTGCTATATCAGCTGCGAAACGTGGTGCACATGTAACTATCATTGCACGCAATCAAAAACGTTTAGAAGAGGCCACTCAAGAAATTACTAAAGCAGCAGCTGAGAGTTCCCAGAGAGTTCAGCATTTGTCACGTTAGTTCAGTTCTACTCTCTGAAATGTATTCTTCTTAATCTAGAACTATGATGGTTTTACTATCATTTTCTTTTTGCTACAGTTGATCTCTCTTCTGATTATTCGGCTGTTGAAACCGCATTGTGGGCTTTAGAGGAAGAATCAGGACCCATCTTCATGCTCATCAACTGTGCAGGTGGGGCTGTTTGTGGAAAATTGGAAGATACCTCAGCAAATGATATTCAAGTATGTGTTAAACTCTGTGTTGTTATCTTTTGTACCAGTTTGTAATTTATTTTCTTTTAATTGAGAATTAACTGTTATACAGGGGCAAATTTCTATGAACTTTTTGAGCACTGTATATCCAACAAAAGCACTTATTTCACGAATGAAAAGTCGTGGCGAAGGAGTTGTGGCTATAACTGGTTCTATTTCTTCCCTCTTTGGGATTTATGGATTTTCAATCTACAGCAGCACAAAGTTTGCTCTTCGAGGTTTTGCTGAAGCCCTTCAGATGGAGGTATAAAATGGATTAATTAATTAATTAATTAAGGGCTTGGGGAGCGTGGTCTCATGACCAACTCCGATATTTTCTTTACCGTCGGCTCGGAACCCCCCAAGCCAAACCTGAAAGGGAAGTGTCTATCTATGCCTGCCCCCCAATGAGACGGCAGGAAGTTGCGGACTCGCGGGAGGCACGTCGCCGCACGGCGAACGCGCGGCGACCGAGGGCTCTGGGCAAGCCAGCTAAACTCGTGGGTTGTAAGATTAGGTGTGAGGGCCCCGGAGGGCAGGTCGGACATAGTACAGAGCAGAAGAATAAGAAGCTGAAAGGGAAGGTTGATTAGCGGGCGGAGGCGGGGCGCAGTGCGGCCCAACCCAAAGGGCGGGCAGGGTGCCGCGTCCCGTGAGCAAGACAAGCAAGGGCGCATTCAAAGAGAAATATTAAGCGAGATCTAGTAAGGCAAGAGCCATGCACAGAGGGTGTCCGCGGGCGTCGAATCCGAGTGGTACAGACAGGATAGGGCCAGCAGGAGCCCGGCGATGAGAGCCTGATCACACAGCTGGGCCTGGGCCCATGGAGAGCAGTCGGGAGCTCAGCGCAAAGGGTGGTGAGGCGGCCTGGGCGGCCCCGCCGCGCCGGCATAGAGGTCCGGTGGTCCGACCAGGCGACCCTTCCCCCAGGAAGTCCCCACGTAGCGACAAAGTGCCGGGCCCCAGGAGAGCGGGGCGGGTACTGCGGGAACCTGGTGGTTGCCTCAGCCCACCACCCAGCTCCCGGGGTCCAGCCCCCGTCGCCAGGGAGTCCTCCCGGGGGCGCGGGCCGCAGTCATGATGAGTCTTCTGAGCTCGAGGCTGATCACGGTCATCTTCACCCCATCCCATCCTCCCTGGCGCCACCCGCACCGAGGCGGCGCCTGGTCCGGCACCAGGGTCGCTTCGCGTATCTTCCAGACCCTGGTTGACCGGGGACTGGCACCGTGGTCGCTGGGAGCGCCGGTCGCGTTGGGCAGGTCTTGAATCGCGGGGAAGTTGGCGGCGAGCTTCATCCCGTCCCATCCTCCGAGGCGCCACCTTCCAGGGTAGCGCCTGGCCCGGCACCACCTCCCAGGGAAGAGTTCGAACACCGACCGCCAGCACGACACCAAAACGGTCCCCCACCCCACCGTCCCCCATGACTCCCCCCGATGCCATCGTGACACTGATCTGACTCAGAATGTCAAATCACGGTCCAAACGACATCAATCAGAACCACGGAAGACGCCCCAATAGGGGAGGCCACCCGGACGCCACACTGACAGCCAGCGCTCGAAACCCCCCTGCGGGATGTAGGGGGCTCGTGCCTAAGTAATCGAGATTATAATCTCCATTACCCCTTACTCTTGCCGGCTCTGGTTGTCCGTTGATTGGCACCGCGTTGGCTGGGGGCATGGGAAGACCTAAGTCCTAAGAAGCGGGAAATATGAGCCACACCACCATGCAAAGCGAAGGTAGGTGAGAAGAATTAGAAAGGGATTAGGCAGTGCATAGCGACAGAGGTAATATAAAGCAAAGCAAGCCTAACGACAGTCGCGTTTGAGCATATTAGCTTGAGGCAAGGCACAGCACACAGGCAAGCAAAAGATAGCATGCGAGATTTGTCCGACCTGCTCTCTCCCCAGGCAAGAGGGCCACGAGGAGGCTTGCCACGACTGAGGTTGGCTAGTCCAACCTCAGCCGCCCTCACCCAGATGGAGGTATAAAATGGATTGTTATCTTATTGCCACTCAAAGATATGGAAGTTTCAATTTTAATCCATTTGTTTTAGACTAAACCTTATGGAGTTTCAGTGACTCTCTCCTTTCCACCTGACACTGACACTCCAGGTTTTGCTAATGAGCAGAAAACAAAACCTATGGAAACTCGGCTTATTTCTGAATCTGCTGGGCTCATTCATCCTGATGTAGTGGCAGAGAAAACCCTTAATGATGCATTGGTAAGTAGATGGTTTAAAATAATTTTTTCATAAACAAAAATGTATGTAAAATCTAATCTAGTTGCTTATAAATTTCAGAAAGGAAAGTTTTTTAGCTTTGTTGGTTTTGAGGGATGGCTTGTTAGTGCAGTCTGTGCGGGTATGTCACCTCCTTCATCCTACTCTGCTCTTGCATTAGAGGTAAGAAAATAATTGAGTTTTATACTCTTCACTTCCCATGCCCTTGTATGGTCTAAATTAGTTTATTTGTGTTTGTAGGCTTTATTTATGGGTCCTCTACGACTTGTCAGTGCTGGACTCCTGATGAATTTCAATGCCATAGTTAAGAAATGCAAACATGATCGAAACAAGAATAAAAAGGTGGAGTAACTAAACTGTGTTAAACAGCCTATGCTCCTCTGCTATAGAGTCCATTGCCCTTTGTTATGAGCACCTTTAGTATTTTTTGTAGTGTGCCAGTTCAAATTCAAAAGTGGCCTTAACCCTAAGTGTACTGAGCACTGAAAATTTGAATTGTGACCTTCCACTTGTATTACTGTGATACTCTTTGTTTAAAAATCTATTGAAACTGCATTTACTTAACTAGGATAAGTCCCAAGTTTTGCATTATTTTACAATGTTTCACAGTCATGTACTACCAGACTGTAATACAGTACAGCATCCAGCTTTTTCCCAAAATAAATTTTTATTGATTTATTCAACTGTTGTTGCTAGATTGCATGATCACTCTTTTTTTTAAAATCCACAATTGTACTCTCCCTGATGCCCTCTTGGTGCGGAGAGGTGGGAGGGGATGATGACCATGGCCATGACCACCCCCACGGGAGGCGGGGTGTTGCGCCTAAGAGCGAAACTGTGTAGCCGCGCGGCGCCCCTCCCACTGGCGTCCCAAGTGCCACTCCACGCCGGGGTTGTCTTTGTCTACCCCCGCGGCACCAGAAAAAAAATACAACCATGAAAACAAAAAAAATGGAGGAGGTGGCTCCACAAAAAGCCGCGCGAGCCTGCTCGCGCACGCGCGCTGAATGCCGATGAGGTTCCTGTCCGCGATCTATGACCCGCCACGCCGCCGAGCCGCGGGCCGCGGCGGGGCGGCGCCAAGCGGAGCGCGACTGGACTGTGCGCTGCGCAGCAGTGTCCTTGGACACCTCGGCCACCTCGCCACGCGCAATCATCATTGTCATGTGCGAGCACGCCCGCCGCCCGGCCCGCCCGGCCCGCCACCAAAACAATGTAAGTATAGCTCCGAGCGACCCGCGCCAAATCACCCCCCAGTGTGTGTATGTGTGTGTGTGTAAGGGCACGAGGGCAGAAATAAAAACAGCAGCCGAAACTGGTGTATCTGAACCCGCGTCAGTCGCCGCCTGCCCGCCGGTCGTGCCGGCATGGCCCCAGGCCTCCTCCGCGATAACAGAGCCCGCCAGATGGAGGGGAGGGCGCGCGGGGAAGGACCAGGAGAGAGAGAGAGAGGGGGGGGGGCGCAGCAG